CCTTTTTCTTCTGGCGAGCCGCTCGTTCCGGCAATCTACGCTCGCCTCAAAATTCCGCGACTCCGACCCGGCCTCCACCGGCGCATTCTCTCCCGTCCGGTGCTCTCGTCGCATCGGCGTCGAACTTGATGAACGATCAAAGCGGTTCTGGCCTGGAGTTTTCGAGCAGAAATTTTCAAAAGTTATACAGTTGAAGGCGGGTGGGAGCCCCTTCTCGAGCACGCTGCCTTCCTGTCGTTCGCCGTTCTTTCGCAGTATCCTATCCGCTTCTCTTCTTTCTTGTTTCTTTGCAAACGTTGAGGATCTCCTTTGTTCTCGGAAACGCGTAACTTCGTCCGATCACGCACGGAACCTTCGATTCGTCTGAAAGTTTAACCCTAGTCTGCTCTCGACAGCCCTTTACCTCCGAGGGACGAGCTGTTAACAAAATAAACGTTCCCTTATCTTGTTAACCCCTGGAATCTAGTCTCCCCTCTGCGATACCCCTTAGAAACGCAAGGGTCAAAGTTTTCAGTCAATACGATCGTTGTTTCGTTATTCTCGCGTTTAGACTAGATTTTTAGGAAGTTCTAGACTCGAAAGTTATTCTCCGAACTTCCCATACCATTCAAACAGACAGAACATTGTGGGCAGGTTGATGTCAGCGCAACATTCAAATCTGCTTAGAATCTCATATCAGAGGTGTATTCAGGTGAGAGGCAAACGGGTCTCTCCCCTTCTTTGTCGAATTTACCTGCAAGTTAAATACCTGGCCGAATATACAGACAGTCTCAACCGATCTGCGACAGTCTTTTCCCATATGTTCGTACAGAATCCTATTTAGACTCCAATTTATGACATCGGTTTTGGGGACGGCTATCGTCCCCGAGGACAAACTTTTCACGACCGGAGGCCTTTTCATATGTTTCATGGAATGCGAAGCTTAACGCGTTACGTTTTCGGACGAGGCTCGAATGGAGCGGATATCTCGCTGTAAATAATACATGGTGGATGGCCATTTACACGGATTTATTGACCTCGAAAATTCGCTCGGATATTCCATAAAATTTATACACAATTCACGGGAGTATGCGTCTGGTTGGACAAAAGTTTAAAGGGGATGCACCGTGCGCCGCGCCGTGGAAATGCACTCGAAGCTTTTCGAACGATCTCGTGGTGCAGCCGGTTGCGGTACTCGAGTTTCGAGGGGAATTTAATTATCCCGCGCTTTTCATGCTATTATTTTGCACGATATTACGCCGTAATTATCCCGCTCGTCTCAATGGCCAGGGATTAAAATCTCTGCGACTTTTTCTGTTTTTTTTTTCTCTCCATCTTTTTTGTCTTTCGTTCCTCCCGTTTTTCTCTCGTATACAGCACACTCGTTCGGACGATCTCGCGGTATTACGATTTTAATTTCACCGAGATTTTATCGTTTGCTCTGGCGTTCGGTGTCCTTGAACCGGGGACCACCGCCATTTAATCCGTCGTCGAGCGCGCAGGATGATCGGATGGGTTGTTCACCGCGCCGCGAACATTTTTTTGTTCCTTCGTTTTGTTTCGGATTACGCGCTTTTATGTCCGGCCCTACGGATTTATACGCCATCGATCTATCAGGCGTCCATCGACCGCGTACATAACTGGTTTCTTCGTTTTTCCCCCCACAGCTCGAAATTTTCCCCGGTTCGTTATTCCGCTCGGGCGTATTCTCGGATTCGAAAGGGAAACGCGTGTGTAATACCGCGCTGGATCGAAGTAACAACGCGCAATTTTTCTCCCTCCAACCGAGAGGAAAAAGAAAAAAGAAAGGAACGTGGAAAAAAGCTAATCAGAGTCAAAAGAAATTCCTTGAGCGGACGAGAAGGTGGAGAAGGCAGTGGTTGTCCAGTCGAAGCGTTGCATTCAACGCTACCTAGGATTTTTCTACGAGAATAAAACCCGTCGATATCAATCTCGTGGTTAGGCACACCTGAATTCTGTTCCACGTAGACAACTATCTGGAGACCCTCTCCCCGTCCTCGACGCTCCTTTCACCTTTCCCTTCACCGTCCACCGGCGCATTTGTCATTCCGTTTGGTCCTCCGCTTGTACGACTTCCTTTTACCTGGTTGTACCTCGGACCTCCGAAAAATAGCCCTTCTCGCCAGCTTGGCCTTGAACCTCTCCAGATTCTCTCTCGCGTCCTTATACGCGGCATGGAACGTCCGCTCGGAATCCGCGTATCGTTTATTCCGTAGAAATCGTGGCCGACCACTCTTCTCTTTCGTCGCGGGAACAGCGTTGTCTGTCGAGGCCCCCCTACGTTTCCATCAGAGAAAGGGAGAGAAATTCGCCGCGACTTTATGACGTAGCTATTATTACATCGTACTTCCTGAAAACAGGCGCACCGATCTGCGTCTCAACAGAGAAACGCAGTGACCGGTCTTTCGATAGATCGGAAAAGGAAACGGATGTAATTCGTTCGCATCTTTTTGCATTCTTTCGACCCACTCTCCATTAGTCCTTTTTTTTGTCTATCCACTCACCAGACAAAAACCTGTGTTCCATCCACGCGCACATTTAGGCAACTGTGACTGACTGTGAGTGTTTCGAGCACACGAGGTGGAAGCAGCGAGAGTTTTCAATCATTTCGACACACGTATATAAATTGTTACGAGCGTATGCATCTCGATCTGCAGATATCTCGTTTGTCAGAACACGCGTGAATCGTAATCGCAGCATTACGTCGAAAGTTAATGGATCGAAAAAGGTTGCTGTATTAAAAACGTTTGAAGACGGTTTCACCGAATTTGGGAGATGGTAATGGGCACATCGCCGCGGCAGAGGCATATTCGTCAGGCTGACTCAACATCGGAACAGCTGGTACCGGAGGGATGCGCGAGACCCTAGCGTGTGCGTCTAATATCAGATCCAAAGTGAGAGGAGGCTGTAGGGACCGATCCTTCATGCTGCGTGAAAGCCTCTGTACGCCAAGTATCTTTAATGAATCTCCGTTGCTATCGATTGCTCGGTAAGCTGTTCCACCATTACGAAAACCACTTTTGCCAACGCGCCTATTTTGCGCTGTTAAAATACGACACGGAGTCGCGTACGAGCTCGGTGTACGCACGGTTTGCGCAATTTCGTAAAATGTCCGTATGTATGGGTGCCTGCGAGATGCCTGTCTGTCGACCACGGATACGCAACCCTCCTTTCGTGTTTATCTTGCTTAAAAAAGGCAGAATTCTTATGCCGTGTGTATGGCTGTTTCGCAACACGCGCACAGCCGCTTCGAAAAATCATCGGCAATTTTCTAAAATAAAACTAGCAAGCAAGTTGTGACCGACACTTGGCGATGTTCCTCGTACATCGATAGTGCGCGGGCACGTACACATTTTTCTGGGGTTAATTCGACGTCCGACCGTCTGGGTTCAGGGAGCGGTCCGCGAAACCCCACTGCACAAGGGAGAACCTCCGTATCCCTTCGACTGTTGCTCTCTCTCTCTCTCTCACACACACACACGCGCGCGCACGCACGCACACACACACACACACGTGAGTGCGTATTTTCTCTCCTCCTTCCCCATAGTACAGTCCCCCCGGGTAAACGTTTCAGCACTGGGTAGGCTTAGGCACTGGCGTAGGGAGCCGAGGATGATATTGAAGCTCGATTTGAAATCCACGGGATTACGCGCGCCACCCTGCTAAAGCGTCTGATTCGAGGAAATAATCTACTGGAATAGACTAAAATGTAGAAAAGTTAAAAATATTGAAAAATTAAACGATAGAGAGCACTTTGGAGTAGGTTGAAAAATATACATGAGTTATCAGTTGGATGTCAGTTATGTTTCATAAATACAATATGGAAATATAATATGATAGGTTTTATATGTAAGTGCATTACGATGTACCGCGATAAATCCAGTTGGTTTTAATTGGTGATATATCATATAGTTTTTATCGTGGTAATGGAAGCAACGAATTTCGGGTTATACGCCACTGCGCGTTCGGCACATCATTGGTCTCGGGGCGCTGGAAGCGGTCGGTACGCGAATGCATCCACCGCCTCTTTCTGCCCCTCCATTGGGCGGCGCTCCATGCGCGTCGCAGTCGTCTAGAGTCGACGGGCTCAGTCTTCGTTGGATCGTTGCCAAGTGTGTGTCGTAGATCGGTGCACTCGTTTACCCTTGTGCGTCGATTCGGCGTGGTTTTTCGTTCGCCTCGACTCTTTCTTCCCTTTTTCTCTCTTTTTCCCTCCCTTTCAGTTCCCGATTTTTTTCTCCCCCGCACAGACAAGAGACCCAGTGTGTTATATGTTACATGCGCGCGCAAGCCGCTCGTTGCGTAGCGGGTCGGACCAGTGGTGAAACACGGCCAAGAAAGATAAAAACGCTGTGTGCTGTTGTGCGTGTGCGGAGTGTGCAATATTTTGGTTACATCCGGGATAAAAACGCCACGAAAGCAAACACGAGGTGTATCGTAAAACTCACCGAAAACGTCGCGCGAGATATGGATTGGGCGCTCAAGGCTCGCCGAACGTAAGTCCCTAAGTCACTCTTCTATAGCCCTGTTTCTGCTCCAAATCGTTCCTAGCGCCGTGTTTCTCGATTCCTGCGAGATCGTATTCTCATCGGACTTGGAAACCCGATTTCAGGTTGCTCGGCCTGAAATTCATTGGCGTTTCTCTACTCTGGAGTGTAGTGTAGGAAGATTTGGACGTGTATAGATGGACGTCTCTATACATCAACGGATATTCAGTTCGTTCGTTTGCAATCAGTGTGACGGCTTCTACGAAACGGATACTCGTGCAGTGTTTTACCTATCTCTTCAAGTGAGTCTCTTGTTCGAATCTCGTTTCTTCGTGGTTCCTGTCGAATCACAGATGTGTCCTACGTGTACAGAATATGTTTGCGTGGATCGAACCGTCGGCCTCAGTTCGAGGAGAAAAAAAAATTCAATGCGCGACGTCATTCGTGCTTGTGTCTCGAGGTCAGTGTTGTTTGCCCAGCCGTCTCGGCGCGTTGCATATATATTAAGTCAACCGATTTGATAAGCCGATATACGAGAAAAATAAAAGGCTGTGTGCCTGTCTCACACAACGACACAACCGTCGCTTGTGACACGCCACCACTCGCCCGTGGGAATCGAGCTCTCGTCCGACCAAACTACCGTGGATTCATCACACCGTGAAAGATTTCGCGGAAGCGCGGTTCGCGGTAACCGTCCATTCGAAGCGTGACTCGATTTGAATTTTAGTAGTCGTTAGTGTTACGCTCTTCTTGTGCTCTTCAAGACTGACGTTTCCTGAAACATTTGCAGACTCTATTCGATAACGATATGTTCCATATATATAGAATAATTCTTCGTCAGCATCTCTAAACCTTATTGAATTTGGAGGTTAGTTTACGATTTCTCTAAATGAGAGAAAGATTCTATATATATATATATATACATGTGTGTGTGCATGTGTGTGTATATATATAGATCCAGTATATATATCAAGTTTTGAAGTTCCAACTTACACGAAGCGAGCTGAAAACGGTGCATCTTGCATAGTAGCAGTGATCAGTGATTCCCGATGAGAGTTCCGTAGAAAACGCGAAATACCTTATTTTCTTCGTGTACATCTCCAAATATTGTCACAGTTAGAAATTAAACGTTAATCTTACTAAGTGACATCGAGATTCGACGTCTCTTCATTAATGTTATTCTAGAAAAAAAGGAAGCGAGTTGTAAACGATTGCAACCGGCAGTGAATTCTCTTGTAACGTGGTATCCTCATGTCTGATCGAATGTAAGTAATTGAAACCGTTGCACGTTCAATACAAGTGATTATTCGCGTCGAACGTGGTCGCGGCTCGATTCTCCTTTCTCTCATTCATTATTCCCTTTAATTCCCGACAAGTTCGTTGCGTAACGGTTCGATCAATACCGACAATGTCGCGCTGTCGAAGGACGACGAAAAAGAGGTTTCGCTCCCGCGAATAACGCTATATGGTTAACGTATCGGGATAACCAAAGCCGGGAAGAGGCTTTACCGTCGGGATTCTCGCGGACCGGACGGTGCCCGTTAAGCGGCTCTGGATCGTGGAACAGCTGCTCGTTGTTTAACGACATAACAGTGGTGAGTTCGCGACGCGTCCGATAAACGTCAGGACCATGTGCCCACGGTGGAGGGAGTATACGAGGAACAAGCCACGGAATAACACGCTCAGAAGACCTCGCATGTTAACGAGCTGTAACGTTTCAACTACGTTCGAACGTCCACCATGAACACACGACCGCTTTGGTACCTTGGTAGAACTGGTTCAAACGATACTTCGTGTTAGTATAATTTGAATTATGTAAAGATGTACGAGCGTTTGATAATTACAGGAAGACAGTTTGAATCGGTGGAAGAGTATGTGATGTATAGATCGACTAACGCGATCTTAGATTTTCACGATGAATAAAGGACGCGTAGTGGTAATGACGGATGATTTATAAAGAAAGAGAGATACATAATAACGAAAGTTTGTATAGGAATTTTTGAATTCTGCATTTCGATTGCGTTGGCCCTGTGTCACTTTACTCTTTCTTTCGTTCTTTTTTTCTCTTAATTATCTTCCTCTCTTTAGAATTTGTCTTGCTAGAAAGGTTTACGGTTGTCACGAAGGAAGAGGGGAGAAAATATGCGTTTTAGGATGTAGATGGCAGCAGCCGTGTAAGATATTAAGATGAAGGAGAACGAGACTGTTAACGACCTATATAGCTGGATTAATTAGATCACAGGAAGAAATTTATTAAGAAAATACGGAAGCGACAGTGACACGTTTTGTTAATTAATAAATACGTCGGGGAACGACGCGGATTTTTGCGCGATGAACTCGATCCATCTGGAAATTTACGAGCGATATCGACGAGGGAAATCCCTGTGACTGGAGCGCAGGCTTTTGTCGTTGCGAGGGTAGATTTTTTAGCGATTTTTTGGAGCGACGCTCTGACAAAGAAATCGATGATTCGTTCCGTTGTACGCGCGATAAATTTCCCGCAGACGCGTTGAAGAAGGGCGACTTTTTCCAAAGAGGAGAGAATGGTTGGCTGCTAGATAGTTGGAACGAACGTTAGCGAATGAAAGGATCTTGCCCCGCCTCTTGCTGTATGTCTGCGGTTAAAAAATTCCTACGAGAAGTCGCGGAAATAACTGAACTTCAAAATGCATAACTCAACCGATCGCCTTATGCTTCGTAATTTTCCTTCTCCTGCTATTTACCGTTTCACCATTTCGCCTATGACGAAACATTGAAATATATCATGTACACGATTTACTTCTCACAATACACGACCGCGCAATCTGAAGATAAAAGGTGTAAGTTAAAATCAAACTTTGACGCAAGAAATCTTGCTTTCGTTGTATTCGATGCATAATTCACGCGTATGACTGGTTATTAAATTAAAAAGATAAGATGGAAGACACGTGTGTGAAAATCGGAGTTAGAAGACAGTTACTGGTCGTCACACTGAATACTCGCACTCCTCGGAAGGGGAAAATTCGCAGAACTCTCGATATCAAACGGGGAGTCACTTCGTATTCAGTCAGAGAACTTCCTGAATATGATAATACTCGCTCAAGAACGGTAATATTCGGCGAGTCTGCCGGACAGGACAATGGTGTTCGAAGTACAGGCGTGACTGGCATAGCGCGACCAGCCAACAGATCCATTTCCTCGAAGAAGCTTCGACTGGCAGAAACGGCTACTCGGTTCCAGGTTGCTCGGTATAGTTGGGATATATTCTAGAGACCAGACTAGTACTAGGTACAGCAAGACGTTCTTTGTTTCTAAACTCTGTATATGCGCGTGTATGCACATGCGCGTCTCTGTATACACCGAACTTCTCGTGTAGTAGCTAGTCGTCTTGAAAATTTCGTGTAATATAGATCGACGGTCGTTACGTTCTCTTCTTTAAGGAGTCGTTTCCCTTTTTACGATCTTTCCCGGGAATACACCTGCAGGCACCTGTTTCTACTCCAACGACATGGAACACGTGCAGTCTAGTGCTATTTTTGGAGCATTTTTGCAAAATGTCGCTTTAGAAAGGTATAAAGGTTGGCGTAGCTCTTGATTGCTTATTGACTTTCAAATCTTGTTTTCGTCGATAAAATTTACGTTTTATAGGAATTCTTCGTGATAATGGCGTTCGTTATTCCACGCGAATCTACAAGAAGCTTCTTTAAAATATCTTATTTATACGTGTAATCTCTTGTTTCAATCTTATGCCAAACATTTTTCTCAGGCATTAAGAATCTTTACGTCTATCGGAATAGGATCGTAAAAAGTTCAAAGTAACGTTCGAGTCTATCAAATTCTTCGTGAACACCTCAAAATCTTCCGTCCATGAAAGTTGATCAATCGGTGTAGACTTCGATTTCGCTTCTTTATTCCCTCGGAGTACTCCAATTTCGTCACGATTCACCTGTCTCTTTCTTCGATCAACGAACAGTCTGTCACACCGAAAATGTTACACAATCCCTTGTCTACAGCAGAGGGTCTACCATTACTAGGACTTTCCTGCTGGTGGATGCATGTGCGTGCTTCGCGAAGACCATGTTGAAGACAGGCAGGTTCGTCTCGAAATACACACCCAAGCCGGAGGCAGAGTAGCGTGTGCCTTACACACCACGTGTTGTGTGGCTGGCACTGCTCTTTGGTAACAGAACACCCGAAAGGGAAGCATTTCCTTTTCGACGTTGCTCTCTTTCTCTCGACTCTCTCTCTCTCTCTCTCTCTCCTCGACGTCTCCTCGACGAGACGTTGTTAATTCTGCCGTTTCTAAAGCACCAGGGGATTGCTTCGTCGATGAAACAAGTGCTCTTGCTCCTTTTTTTTTTCAAAAACATGCCACGCTGAATTCGAATTCGAATCGCGAGCCACGAAGTTGCGACGAGATTAACTAAACGAGTTCTATTGGCAATGACAGAAGTAGCTCCGTTTGATCGTCGTTTGCTTTTCTGGCAAAAGAGTCTCGAACATTGAGATCTTTGGTTTTCAGTCTATCGCACGATTTATTGCAAATTTACATTATCGAAATCATCAGATTTAATTCAGCCTGCTATGGATAAGAGAGTTTGCTTTAAGGGAATTTTCTGTAGGCGATGTAGGCATTCTATAGTTTGTTGACGATAAAAGAGTAGAAAGCGATACGTAATCGAACGTCTAGGTTAAGCATTCCGACGTCACGAGGATAGAGTTTTCGATGACAGCTGTGAGTTTAGTCTTTGAAAAGTTCAATTTCTAGTGCTCTATATTCTATTCAGTACAGCTTCGACGCGATTCGTTCTCCGACTGTCCATCTTGATGGCGTTTGACATTTCGAGCTGAACTATTTATTTAACTGTCAGCTGCGAACATACTGCGGTAAAAATACGAGTTTCGCTGACAATGCGGCGGGTTTAATTTTAAATAATCTCTCGATTTCGTTCTACCGCAACCAGAAACACATCGTGACGTCACCTATTTTCAACTTCCAAATCCAAAGCTAGATCCAAGAAAAGATTACG